AAATCTAATTGTAGAAAATGAAGACATCATTGAAATTCTAAATAAGAAATTAAATTATGGCAAATGCTGGAAATCAAAAATAAAAAGAGAAAACTTTAGCAATTGTAAGTATGTTCAAAAGTTCTGTGGAAAGAAAAGTAAAGTTAGTTGTAAGCTCAATGATCTCTTGCCCATAGTCAACATGCCTCATGTTCAAGAAGAGACAATGATAAACCAAGTGCTTGTTGTCCACTTTGTCTGACATCAGCTGGGGACAAAAGCTATAGTTTAATATATTGAATTAATATTTTGTATCATGTTTTAGTAATGGAAGTAGAATGTGGAACATTTGTTGGAGATAATTGTAGAAAAGAAAGTCATTGTGGAAAATAGTAGTTCTGAAGAAGGATATGTCATTGGATACTGATGTAAGAACATTGAACATGACACTGTACCTTAGTCTGGTGAAGGAACTCAGAGGGGAGATAACAAAGTCTATGACTACGATTTTGCAGTGTTCCAAAGATACATAAATTGTGCAAATGAACTGAAGAGCAGTAACACCTTATTTCATGAAGATGGAAAGGAATAGAGCAGGTACTTAATCATCCAGTTTATATAGCCTATGTAGAAAATCAATAGTTCAATATCTGTGTATCTGTCTCTTTTGACTGAATTTTCCTGTCCTACTGACATCAGAAACGAAGCGATCTGAAAATTATGAGGCCAGCTGGCTTATTGACCTCCCAGTTCTGGCATGCACTTGGGACCTGGATTGTCTGTTTCTCTCTCCTCAAGATTCAGCAACAGCAAAGACAACATTAGCTGTCTAGATGTTATACCTTTGTCAGCACCTGGAATGGTTAATCACTCCAAACAGCCAGACATATTGGGTACATTAAGATCCACCTAAGTTCCACTCTGTCTCCAGTTTTCTGGAGTCAGTCTTCATGAAGAACACGCAGGTAGCTGAAGACCTTGGTGAAGATAAATCATGCCACCTGTTTCCTGCTGCCATGGGGAAAATTGAGATTGATGTGACTGTCTGGGGATAAGCCTAAAAGATGGAATCTGATCCATTAGGGTTCAGTCTTGTTTCAACTAGAACTTTAATTTTGATCAGTGCACAATGTGGATGGGCACAGCGGGGGTGGGGTGAGGTCGAAAGTCATTCATCCAAACTTAGCAGCGATGCAGGGGAACATCTGAGTTTCCCTGGTATATGTTTGCCTTAATGACCTTTAAAGGACCTTAACATAACTCATGCCAGTTAAAACACAATCCCTCTGAAGCATTCTGATAATCCAAAACTTCACTAAAGCATATGGTAACCAGTCTGGGAAGGGATCAATTATCGCATCAGGTTTAGTTCTTGAGGGTGCCCCTCTGGGTTTTTTGTAGGTTTCAAGCACAACAACTTGGTGCCACTCCAATTCAATTAGACGTGCCGCAGTGGGTACAAGCATGTTTTCTTAGGCTCCAGCAGCTTGCCTCAGCTCTGCAGATTACCCCATGTAGAGACAGTCTCCCATCTCTTGCAAGAATGAGTTATTGTTCTACTGGCAGAGATGAGCCTCATAAGTTTCCTAGCCAGGGAATACAAACCTAAAGAGGTATTGATGAATTCTACTAAGTAATAGTTAAGCCAAATTTTAAAAGCTGTTGGTGGCTCAATGTAGAAAATAAGTTAAAATTATGTTCAGCACAGAGAAAAGTCATAAGAGGAGACTGACATACTGCGGCAAATTCCATTGGTCGAGAAGTGATAATAAAGGTTTTTAAAATTCTGAAGGTTTGTGATAGAATGGATAGGAAGAAAATATAATTTCTGCTTGGACAGTCACAGACAAGACATCAATTTTAAATTGTCACTCAGACAGAGTGCAAAGGAGGCAGAAAAGTTCCTACAAGCAATTGGTTATTAGAGTATGAAATGCTTTGCCGTAATGAGTGGCTGGGGCAGGGAAATTGCATCTTTTAAAGAAATAATAAACATACATTTGAAGCAAAGGAAGGTAAAGGGCCATTGAGAGAAAGCATAGTGGGATTAGTTTTGGATTGTCCAGTAAAAGAAAAATGGCATGAAAGGTTAAATCATAGCCTTGTGTTATAAACGTATGGCTCCATGACTATATCTATGTTTATTTGTTATGTACACTGTTACATTATCCTGAAGATCCCTGTCAAAGATGACCTTAAAGTTTACTCCCAATTCTGATTGGCTATAGTTCTCCTAGGGCTCCTGGATGTCACATTTGGTCAAGTGCAGCATTAATGTCAAGGGCAGTCACTCTCAACTCCCCTCTGGAGCTCAGCTGTTTGTCCATGTTTAGACCAAACCTGTAATGAGGTCAGGAGCTGAGTGGCCCTGGTAGAACCCAAACTGGGCGTCACTGAGCAGGTTATTGCCCTGTTGATCACCATTATCATCACTTTACTGATCATCAAGAATAGGCTGGTGGGGCAGTATTTGACTAGGTTGAAATTGTCTCGGTCTTTGTGTACTGGCTAAGTAAGCATTTATTGCCCATCACTAGTTGCCCAGAGGGAGTTAAAAGTTAACCATGTTGTCGTTGGTCTGGAGTTGCATGTAGACAAGACCAAGTGAGGACATCAGATTTCCTTCCTTAAAGGACATTAGTGAATCAGATGGGTTTTTTTCAGCAATCAAAAATGGTTACATGGCTACCAGTGGGCCAGCTCTTTCTTTCAGATTTTTCTGAACTCAAACTTCACTATCTGCCGTAGTGGGATCTGAACCCATGATTCCCGAACATCGGGCTGGTGTTTTGGAATGCTACTTCAGTGACATTATCACTATGTCACTGCTTCCCTTTAATTGGCTTACCTTGGCAATTTGTCAGTAGATGTCAGTAATATAACCATACTAGAAAAACTTGGCTAGGGACACGGCAAGTTTTGGAGCTTACGCCTTCAGTACTGTTACGTGAATTTTGTTATGGTCATAGTCTTTACAGTATCCAGTGCCTCCAGCCGTCTCTTGATATTTCCAAATTAGGATGTAAGTGTTTTGAGCAAGGGTTCCATTGATGGTGTTCCCAAGTATCCATGGAGTGAATCAAATGGGCTGAAGAATGAAGATTGGGATTTATGGTGTTGTGGACCTCAGGTGGAGGCTGAGATGGATTGTCTATTGGCACTTCCTCCAGATGATTGACACCTCATTTTTAGATATGTCTGATGCTGCTCCTGGCCTCTCCGCCTGCAGTCTTCATTGAACCAGAGTTGATACTCTGGCTTAACGTTAACGGTAGAGTAGAGGATATTCTAGGCCATGAGGTTGCAAATTGTGTGACAGTACAGTTCTGCTGCCACTGATGTCCCACAGTGCCTCATGGATGTGCATTCTTCAGTTTCTGGATCTGTTTGAGGTAAATGCCATTAAGCACAGTGATAGTGCCACACAGCTCGATGGAGGGAATTTTCATTGTAATGATGGGATTTTGTCTCTATAATGTCTACACGGTTGTAATTTTTACAAATTCTGTCATGGACAGATACGTCTACAGCAGGCAGATTGGTGAGGATGAGATTAACTACATTTTTCCCTCTTGTTGGTTCCTTTACCACCTGATACAGATGCAGGCCAGCAGTTATGTCCTTTAGGACCATTCATTTTTGACCAATCCAGTTAACAGTTAATCACATTGATGTGGGTCTGGAGTCACATTTTAGGCTAGACCAGATAAGGACCAGTTGGCAGTTTTCCTTCCCTAAATGACATTAATAAACCAGAAGTGTTTCTGCAACATCTGACAATGGTTTCCTGACCATCATTTGGCTTTTTCAATTTTTTGTTGAATTCAAATTGCATCATCTGCTGTAGTGGGATTCAAACCTGGGACCTTTGGACATTACCTTGGTGTCTGGATTATTACCACAGTGACAATACCACTACACCATTGCTTCCCCTGTAGCAGAGTCAGCTAGAGTCCTGTGTAGACCTATGGATTATCACACCTGTACAGAATCAAGGAAATATTCAACACAAAAATAAAAGGGAAGAGATAGTGAGAGCCTGACTACCCTGCCTCCTCTTAGCAGGAAGCAGTCTCCTGCTGACATATTTGCATTCTACCCTTCTGTGTGTATACAAGTAAGGGATTACAAACTGATTGCAGCTGCTGGTCTATGTGCACTAGTGGCCTGAAATAATAGTGTGTGAGCTAGTGTGCTGTCGTGGTTACAGTATGGGAATAGCCACTAGATGCTACTACACCGCAGGTAAAGAATATGAAAACACACCCAATCCAAGTGCTGCCAGACACCATCGAATGGAGCCAGGAGAAAAAGAATTTCAATCAACCTGCAAAACCAAGAATCTTAAAATTGACTACTCAACAACCAATGGCAATGCTACTGATACCGTCCAATTTAATATGCCATGATGTGGTGATGCCGATGTTGGACTGGGATGAACAAGGTCAGAAGTCAGACGACACCAGGTTATAGCCCAACAGGTTTATTTGAAATCACAAGCTTTTAGAGCATAGCCCCTTCATCAAGTGAGTGATTTCACCCGATGAAGGGGCAATGCTCCGAAAGCTTGTGATTTCAAATAAACCTATTGGACTATAACCTAGTGTCGTCTGACTTCTGACTTTATCCAATATAATAGCCACAGCATTAGAACCTCCGAACCTTTCGCTGTCAATATGCAGGGGTTTCCATTGACTAGAAACTCAATGGGACCAGCCATATAAATACTGTAGCTGTAGTAGCATGTTAGAGTCTAGGAATTCTATGTTCCACAAGGCATAAATCGGGTGTGTAATAGTATACTCTCCACTTACCTGAGTGTGCGCAGCTTTAACAAGAAATTCAAAACACTGCAGTTCAAATCAACTCTATTAATTGGCACTCCATGCACCATCACAAACATTCAGTCTCTCCAGAGTGGCAGCAGTGTGTACCATCTACAAGATGCACTTCTGCAACTCACTAAGGCTTTATGAACAACATTCTCCCAACTTTAAACCTCTACTACCCAGAAGTTTCAGGACAAGGAAAGCATGTGCATGGAGGCACCTCCACCTGCAACTTTCCCTCCAAGCCACAAACCATCTTGAACCAGAACTATATTACTGTTCTTTCATTATCACTGGTCAAACTTCTAGAACATGTTTCTGACCAGCACTGTGGATGCACCCTCACCTCACCACCTTCTGAAAGACAGTTAAGGTTGGGCAATAACTGCTGGTCTGGCCAAATACCATGAATAAACAAAAGCAAGCACCCCCAGATTAACTAAATGATTCATTTGGTCTGCTTAATACATCTGTATTTGCATCATATAACTTTACACTGTACAAGCGATAGGATTTTCTTCTGTCTCCACATAGGGTAGAGGAAAACTCTGGCAGAGGCGCATTGTGTTAGGTCCCCTTACTAGGAATTCCTGGGGCTTCCCCATAGTAGTTTGATGGATCCTGCAGAAAGGTCAGAGATAGATCAGTAAATTTCTTCATTTATCTTTTGTGGCTCCAGGACTGCTGGCTGCAATCATGGCTTCCTGGCTATTGGTATCCATCAAACCATCTGGAGTTCCACTGGGCCATGCAAAAAACCTGCTGGAGGAACAAGGTGTGCAGGTGCTTCTCCACGGGCATGTGGCATTGGTGGAGTGTTACAGACACCTGCTTGGTACCACAAAGCCAATCAGGCACATTATGTTTCAGACAACCAAAACTGCATTAAACTAAGGCTCTGATAGTGATCCTAAGTAGCCAATTTCATTGCCTAGTCTTATTCAAATAATTATAAATCAAGAAGAGCAGGATACAGAAGTGGATGTTGTGAAATACAATCAGAACCCGAAAGGTTTAACTGACATCATGACATTAGCTCCACTCATCAGGACATGAAGGACTGTTCTTGAAAAGATTTAACCAGTGTGTTCTCAAGTCCAGTTCCAGGTAATTGCTATGTCGATGTTGCTAACAGTAATGTTTATTTACTCTTAAGTTCGCTCTGAGCTCTTATATTGGACTGTCCTGTAATTCAGATGCCATGTGACTAGCTATGAAGTAGTATAGATTAAACCTGTTCTGTTTATTAGCAATGAGCCTGGAGGCAGATTACATGGGAAGTTTCAAAAGAGAAATGGATGTATCTTTGAAAGTGATGATGATAGAGGGCCATGGAGATGGGGCTGGAGAATGGAACTAACTGGGTAGTTCTTTTGGGAGCCAGTACAGCCACGGTGAGTTGAATAGCCTCCTCCTGTAGTGTAAAATTCTATAATTCTGTGACTCCAGATTTTAGTGGACATTCTTCTCTACATGGTGTCATTAAGGCTATAACTCGGACTAATATCAATAAGAAGAATTGGTGGTAGTGAATCTACCCAAGGGGGCACAGATTGTTTTGGTGAATGTGACTACAACAGATGCCATGCTAACAGAGTTACTACATGAAAATATACCTCTGAGGACTGTCTACAAGTTCCAAACATGTCTCCAAGGGAAATAGTCACATTTCTGGGCATTTCACAGAGGTGTCCCCTTAATTAGCTTAGAAAGAAGTACCTGCCAAAAGAATGGTGGGGAAGCAATCAAAGCAAGTTGGGACTTGCAGGTTGCTATACAATGGTGCAGTTTAGAGGAATCATTGCTTGTAGCTGTGACTTAAATTCAGGAATTCATGAGCAGCTTTTTGACATTTGTGAAAGTAACAGTTCATACCATCTAAAAAGCTATACAGACATTTATATAGATACCTCCATTGAAAGGAATGAACACACAGCAACCCCAGCAAAGGTGCCTATTAACATAGATGAAGGACTAATTGGTCATATCTAACAAGCATTTAGTATTTGCTGATTTTGTCAATTGGCCACACAAACATCTGTATTGTCATCTTAGAAAATGGAAAGTCCTCAATAGAAGGCTGCTATCACAATAGCATGAAAGAATTCATCAAGCAAAAATATCTAGCTCAACTATAAACTGCTTTAATTATAAACATTGTAAGTTCATATACTGAATTCAGTTTTAGAAAAACTTGCAGTCTGTTCTGTTATTTAATTGTGCAAGAAAACAATGTTGCATGCCTGAAGGCCAACATGTGCTGATGCTTTGGATTCTAGAACTTACATTTGGGATGAACGTTGAGAGCATAGAGACCTTATCTGCTCCTGGAAGTGCCTGTCAGATTGTTGACTGGTGCTGCAGATATTTGTGGACAGATGGCATAGACAAAACCTTTCTGGTAAACTTGGGCATTTTCATGCTGTGCTCCTTCTGTGTTCAGATAGCAGATAGTGTTCTGCTATATGTGCTGCTTGCTATGGTGCTTGTGTTAAGAGCTGTGTTACTTGAAGAGATTGATATGCTAATATGCTAACAAGGACGTAAGGCACATGATCAACTACCGTGTGCAGTCCAACAAAAAGCTTGCATAAATAGTTGTAAGTTGTGGTCTAAATGATTAAGAATGTTTTTGTGCTCTTCAAATGAACCAGATTCAGACTTTTCAATCTGTGTTTCATTCAAATGACAGAAAAAAAAGACACGGTATTTAATGCTGGGTGCTTTTCTTGTAATAAAAAACAGCCTGTGATGCAAGCTTTAAAACTAAAGGAGAAGGCCTCAGACACGACTTGGAGCAATGTAGCATTCACATTGACACTTGAACCTCAGAAAAGATTGTGACAGGTACAGTGAGTGCTTGATTTATTACAAAAAAAGACTTGAGCTGTAGTTGGAAACAGCGCTTACAGATTTAAAAACAAAGCAAATATAAAAATTGGTGGCATTTGCAAAATAAAAGAATGATCATAAAGATAACCACCAAATTCCGTAGTACAAATTGGAAGACCCCAGGGGTCCTCTCCAAATTTAAGGTTTTTAAATAAGGATGAAGCTGTGCTTCTTAAATTTAGCTGTTGCAGAACCATTAAGTAAGCAGTGAAAATAAAAATAACCATTGGAAACAAAGCCTTTCACAGAGTCAACAACTCAGACCTATCTGAAGAGATGAGAGAGATCCTGTTAAGCTATGGAAAATGCTGAAACATCAGCTTTGTGTAAAATTAAATTGTTTAGAGCTGATGCCCTACTGGCAACAGTTGCAAGAATCAATTGATTAGCTTATCAGTAGTTGCCATGAGAAGAGGAACAACTATGATTTTCAGAAGCTGACTTCTCTGAATAAATAATGGCATTGGTTAAAACTTCAATGCCTGTCAAAACCTTCCCCAAGACTGCCTCAAGAAGAGAAAGGTTATGACATTAACACATTGCTTAAAATATGCAAGAAAATATGAATCCATTGCAGCCGGAAAAAGTCACCCACAAGCGTTAGGTGCAGTCATTAAGGTTGGCGCAGTAGCCAGGTTGCAGAAAACAAGCAAGCTGTGTGAGAAGTGTTATCTGTTGTATCCACTGCAAAACTATCCTGCTTTCCGAGATATTTGCAAATCATGTATTACAAAAGGAACTGTCGGAGAACCTCAGAAGATCTGGCAACATCTGTGGAGATAAAGCAGAGTCAACATTTCGGGTCCAGTGACTCTCCTTCAGACATAAACTCTTTTTCACTCTCCATGGTTGCTGCCAGACCTGCTGATTTCAGATTTCCAGTATCCCTAGTTCTTTGTTTTATGTTTAGTGCAAAAAGGCACTGGGCTTAATTATGCAAGCAATCTAATTTCAAACATACAATTAGAGACTAAAATAAGAGGTGACCAAAGAAAAATCATTCACAGGCTGCTGGAGTGAATCAGAGACTTGCATAAATGCAAGCAAAGTCATGAGATTAGCAGAAAGACTGACAAGGATGAAGATGCAAAGTTGAAGAACACTCAAACAGAAATGAACAGGCTTTACACTTTGTGAACATGGCACATTGTATGTGCAAAGTCAAACTGTTAGAAGCTTTTACCACTATTGATATCATATGCCTGAAAACAATTGGCAAAGCATCAAGACCAAAGTTAACAATGGGAGTGAGTGCAAATATCCTGTGAGTCAGAATGCTGAAGGATGTGTACTTGGATCTTTGGAAGACAATGTTGCAACCTGCAAAAGAAAAATTAACTGCCTAGAATGGAACATCTATTCAAGTGATGGTACATTGATGACAAAATGCAGCTATAGCAAATCTGCATGGAAGCCTCAAAGTATTTAACCTGGTGGACACAAATTGACCAGCAATAGTAGGATTTTCAGCATGCATGGATCTCAATACTGTGACCATTCACAAGATTGTGGGGGAGGTGATGGCCTAGTGATATCATTGCTAGTCAATTAATCCAGAAACCCAGATAATGTTCTAGGACCTGGTTTTGAATCCTACCATGCAGATGGTGGGATTTGAATTCAATAAAAATCTGGAATTACGAGCGTAATTATGACCATGAAACTATTGTTGATTGTTGGGAAAAGAAACATTTGGTTCACTAATGCCTTTAGGGAAGGAAACTGACATCCTTACCTGGTCTGGCCTACATGTGACTCCAGACCCAAAGTAATGTGGTTGACTCTTAAGTGCTCTCTGGGCAACTAGGGATGGGAAATAAATGATTGGCCCAGTTATGTCCACATCTTGTGAATGAATTTTTTTAAAATATCACCAATTGCAGCAGAAGACCAAGAAAACCGGCATTGAGTGAGTCCAGGATTTATAACAATTTAACCAAGCAGATTTGACACCATTAGAAGCATTTAAAGTGATTGCACCGCAGAGATGATGTCATTCCATCAATAGCCCCTCCCAGAAAGTGAGGTGTCCACATCAATGTGAGCTGGGTGAAATGGCAGGTAATAGTGCACACCAACACACAGACTGGCACTGTTCCATTTCATGTCAGCTAAAGAAAGGTGGCACAATCAGGCACAAACACCAGAACTTGCTGAAAAGGCACAACAGGTCTGGCAGCATCTGTGGAGAGAAAGCGGAAAGAAGTGGCACAATCAGGCTATGTTTAAACCAAAGATGTCTAAATCTATCTCTTAAAGTTATGCCCTCACAAAATTCCAACATTAGAGGAACTGAACACTAAATTTACAGAAG